ACCCCTCTGGTTGACTCAGTGGAGAAAGGGAGATGTTTTTTGGAGGGCAACCTGAGATGGCCCGGTGGGAAAACACGGTCCCCAAGGGGCAATTTGGGGCTCCCAGCCAGCTTTTTCGATGTCCCCAATGTCTTTGTCCTGACTGCAGACACCAGGAAGGAAAACCTTTGGGAAATGCCTCTCCAAAACTCCTCCATCCCTACCGACTCGTTGTTTCCTTTGCAAGAAATCCCTCTTTTTTCCACAAAAAGATGGTGAAAGCACCCACCGCCTGCCCTGGAGGAGGTTTCTCCATGATGGGTGGCCACACTGGGCACTGGTGATGCCAGCGTTCCCAGTGCTGCTTGGGCCGGATGGGTGAAAATCCTCATTCCTGGTTTCTCAGGGTTAGCAAATCCATAAAGTGGGTTTTTCATCCCAGATTTGCAACAGTCAAGAGGCCCAGGCGCCAAGGTCCTCACTGATGTTGGCATGAAGCTGGCAGAGGTTTTGGGGTGTTTGAGGGGGTGTGTGTGGAATGAGGGTGCATGAATTTCCCTTCTCCCTGTAAATGGGAGGGCCATTTGGTTCTAATTAAGTAATGAGTTAATTAGGATTAATTAGTTAATGTTTGCAAAGCACTTAGGAGATGAAAAGCGCCAGCGTGGGGCGGCTTTGTGCGTCCTCTGCTCTCCGTGGAGGTGTGCAGCAGCTTTGGCTAAAACTCCTCCCCGCAATGCACTTATGAGGGGACTCCTTAAACTGAGCCTAGCCAGGCTGGGCTTAAAACCCAGCAAGACGATGGGCTCCAGTAACAGGAGGTCTCAAATGGCGAGGGATGCTCCCGGCGTTCTGCCTTGGCTCCGTCGAGGAGAAAAACTGGTGCCGGGATGGAGGCACGCAAGCCAAGAGCCAAGCGGGCACGTCCTGGCGTGCCCATCCTGCCGGCAGCACCGTTTCATCCGGCAACGGTGGTGGGAGGGGGGTAAAATTCCAGTACCGCGGCTCAGGGGCCTCCCTTCCCGACAGCATCCCGCGGGCAGAGCCGGCACACGCGGCACACGTGGGAAGGAGCCGGGTTTTCCCTGCCCAGCGGGTGCATCACAGCACTTTGCTGGAGCGTCCAGCCCCTCGCCCCGTCCTGGCATCCTCTGGCACTCCAGAGCCAAGAAGGGGCCGGGTACCCCCAAAAACCAGCCAGTAATCAAGGTACAACAGAGCCACCCTGGCTCACACCAGGGTTACCAGGAGGTAACAAAGCCAATTTACTAATTAAACGGGATTAATTTCCCTGTTTGCCCAAACACAGCTGCCCCGTGTTTTCCCCTCGCCGAACAAGCCGCCGGGGTGAGCGTCGGCAATCCCGGCTGACCGCCACGTGGGCCGGCGATGCTCTCCAGCGCCCAAAATTTCCCAGGTATTTTGGCCACATGCTTGGGATACAAATTAAATAATAACCCGTTAACGACCAGTGATGGGACCCCCCACACCCCCCAGCCCTGAATCTGAGCTGGCTGGATCTGGGGTGAAAAAAGGGTGCTTTTTCGTTTTTTTCTCCGGCAGAGCTGGCCCCATCCCTACTCGCCGGCGCAGCTTTGATGATATAATTTCAGCCATTCCTCTGTCCCCGGTGGGTCCCCGAGGGGAGACAAGACCTGAATTCCTAATGCAGAAAAACAAACAGAAAAAAAAAAATCCAAACCCATGCGGGGTTTTTATTTTTTTTTTGGTGTTGTTTTTTTGGCTTTTCCCAAGCTTTTTGGGCCTGTTGGGAAGAGGAACAAAGCGGGTGGTTATTCCCCAAAAGGAGCGGAAAGGATCTGG